GTCGAGGGGACAGAGCGGGGATGTGTGAGGTGGGGCAGCGGCCCGGCGGAGCTTGCAGCCGCAGCTGCCGCAGAAGCAGCACCAGATGCGGTCGCGGCTCCAACAACAGCGGCAGCAGGCGCAGGCGCAGGGGCAGGCGCAGGCGCAGCTGCATCAGCAACATCAGCAGCAGCAGCAGCAGCAGCAGCAGCAGCAGCAGCAGCAGCAGCAGCAGCAGCAGCAGCAGCAGCAGCAGCAGCAGCAGCAGCAGCAGCAGCAGCAGCAGCAGCAGCAAAAACCACCGCGTCACGCCACCTCGCGGTGCACACCTGCTGCAGCAGCCGCGTCGCGTATGCGCGCGCCAAGGGGTCGCCCCTCTTGGTGTGGCCCCAGACCATCCCGGCGAGCGCCCCGCCGTCCGCCGACGCGGTGCCGTCGGCGAGCGCCGCCAGCAGCCGCATGCGGCGCAGCGGCTCGCCCGTCCAGAGCAGCAGGCGGCGCAGGGTGAGGAAGGGCGCGGACAGCAGCTCGTCGTCCGTGCAGCCTGCAGCAAGTGGCGTCCAGCCCGCGAGCGGGTGGTGTGTTTTACCAGTCAACTATGCTCTGTGGAAACACTATGGTCGACTGCAGCCGAGACACCACATGCCGCCTAAATCAAAACCAAATGCCTATGTCGGCACAAGGACGCCCAGCCGAGGGGCTGGCCAGCCCGCCGCCTGCCCAGGCCCAACCCTGCTTCCACCCCGCCCGCGCACCCGGCGGCGGCAGCGGGTGCTGCAGCTGCTGCTCCAGCCCGGCCAGGAAGCCGTAAAACTCTGTCAGCTCCCGCTGCAGCGCCGCGCACAGCGCCTGCCGCACCGCGCCGCGGGGGCGGCCGGGGTCCGAGCCCGCCTCGGCGTGCGCCTGGACGGCCCTGGGGTGCACGGGTGGGTTCGAGGCGAGCAAGATCGGCTGCCAGGTGCGCGGCCGGGGTTGCAGGGCAGCGCATGAAGCGCCGCACGCGGGCGCGGCCGCCTGGTGAGGCGGGCGGCGCACCGGAACATCAGGCCGAGCTCGCCAAGGACGTGCATCACAGTCCGCTGCGGCCACGGTATGCCAGCATCAGCATAGTCCGCCACCGCCAGGTCGCCGCCGCAGTCCAGGCCCGCCGCCGCCGCCGCCGCTGTGGCCGCCTCCCCAGGCGCGGGGGGCGCGCCGGGGGCGCGCGCGAATGCGCCGTAGCTGCCCGCGCAGCCCTGGGCCGCGCGCAGCGCATCGCGAACAAGCTCTTTCTCCGGGACCTTTTGCGGGGGTTGGGAATGGGTGGGCCGCATGGAGTGGTGCAGCGCCGTCCAAGGCGCGTAGGGACGCTCCACACGCAAAGCAAGCAACCGGCAACGATCGCCGATGGCCAGCCTCGCGCCTTGATCAAAGGCGCGGCCAGAAGCTCACACGCCTTGCGAGCCCTCCCCCCCTCCGCCCCCGCTACCGTGCAGCCGGGCGCCTGGCCCGCGGCGCGCGCGGCCGCGGCTTGCTGCAGCTGGCCCGCCGCGCGGGCGCTCTTGGACTGGTCGGGGGCGCCGCCCGGCTGCCCGTCGCGGCTCGCCGGCAGCAGCGGTGCCTGCAGGGCACACGCGCGTTGGCGTTTGCACTGGTGGGTCAAGCAGCCATGGTGTGCGCCACGCTGGCTGATTTGCTGCCCTTGGCCACACCGCGTGCCCAAAAGCCGCGCCACCCGCCACCCACGCAGCTTTTTGCCTACCGGCTTGATGAGGCGCGGCGGCTGATAAGTCGCGATTGCATTTAGCGGTAGTTCGCCGCCGCCGATGCCGCTGCCGCCGCCGCGCGCCAGCTGGAGCAAAAGGGCAAGCACTGCCTGCTGTGCGCGGCCGCTGACGGCACGCGAAGCCACCAAGCGCCCATAGCGGTCGTCCAGGCTGAAATTCGGCGCGAGGGGTGGAAGCCGATCAGCGCTTGCGTAACGCGTGTGTATGCGTGCGTGGACGTGTGCGCGCGCGTGTGCGTGTGTCTTTTGTGTGCACAAAGGGACGCAACAGACGTGTGCATGTCTGCATGTGTGCATAACGGATTGCTTGGTAGCATTGTGGCCAGAGTTCCCCTGGGGCGCAGCCCTTTGCACTCTGGATGATGCACAAGATTCACCTGCCGGCATCCGCGTCGCGCTGCTGCTGGCGCAGCAGCTGCTTCATCGCGTGTACAACGCTTCCCCCATCGCCAAGGGCTGGAGATGCACTGCTGAGGTGGCTGCCAAGCACCCGCAGCGCCCAGCCGTTGAGCTTGTTGTGGAGCGCCTGCCGCTGCAGGTCATCGCCCGGCACGCCCCGCAGCGCACTTCGCACGAGCGCGTCGATCAAGGCTGCTCTACCAACATCCTGGGCCCCCTTTGACAGCGTGCTCACGATCCCTGGCTGTGCAGGGGCCGTGCCCCTACTTGCAGGGATCGGCGGCATGTCCTGCCTGCAGCCTCCTAAGCAGCTGCGTATAATCAAATCGTTGAAATTAATAGGCCATCAGCTGGATGTGCCGGGGTATTCGGTGGTGATCTCGGCGGGATTTGAATGTACGGCATGTAAACTGCGCGGGGCACGCATTGAGATGGTGCGTACACGGTAATGATCAACTCCGTCGTAGCATGCATGCAGTGACGGGGTCAATTACCATACCATTGAGCAGCTGGTGTGGAGCAGGTGTGGAGTGAGTGAGCGTGGTCACCAGCGCACAGCACGAGCAGGCAGGTGTGGCAAGCAGCATTGTGCTCAAAGTGACTATTCCGTAGCATGCACCTCCACCTCCACCATCGCGGTACTGTACCGGTATCATACCGCACCCGTCGATTGCCAGCGCCCCATCGCGTGGGGCACCTCTGAAACTCACCCATGAGGCAAGGAGCGCCACCAGCAGTGTGCAAGTATGCACGCCGATAAATCCTACGGCAGTGTCTACCTAACGCCGGCGCCCTCTGCTGGCACTCCCAGACTTGGGGCGCAAGAGTCGCGCACCATGTCGACGTCAGCACACCTTCAGGCACTTGTACAGCCCAGCAGCTTGCCATGCCGCATTGGGAAGAACGACCCACGCTCACCTTGCATCATGTCTGCATATAATAACGCCTTCATCAAACCTGCTGATTGGCTGTGCATGGCTGGACTTGATAGACACCCCAGCAGCCTCATGTAATGTGCCCATGCTGCTTCCTGAACAGCCACCAACTGATCAGCCAACCACGCAACGCTCAGCATCAGTGCGGCACCGTGGTAACCTTAATGCCAACGCGATTGTCTTGCTGACGGGTTGATGCGGCCATCTCAACCCCATCTTACAAATTCTGCGGCCACACCAGTCGACTCGCAGCTATTTTCAACTTAGAACTGCGGCGGTTATTATACTGTGAGCGAGGTCAGTGTGCTCTCGGCGGCCTCGCTCACATTAAGGAGCAGAAAACAGTGTGCCGTATTAGTTTTGCGGTTTTGGTGCGGGGCCGATTGGCCCCCCTCGGCACGCGCTGCACCATCCTGGCCGTGCGCTTTTGCTGGGCTGGTTCAAACACAGTGCTGACACATCACTGCGCCCAGCGGCTGATTGCACTCCTGCTCCGCGTGACAAAGATCCTATCTTTGTCAGAGGGTTTTCAAGTGCAAAGTAGGATGTTAGACTGACGCAATCAGTGAAACCCAGTGATTTGATCCCCGTGGCAACTTGTCGCGTCCGTCGACCCTGACACGACTGGCAGGCATCTGTCATCAACGCAAAGGAATTCATTCGCAGGTTTAAGCGAGCTGAACGCGGTGCGAGCCTGGCCGCGAGGGCTTCCCTCCATCGTCCGTCCAATTCGTTCTCCAGCACTGTTGCGGCCCTGGCAGTGTGCAGCAGGTAAAAACGAGCAATTTGGGGTGCAGAGAGCCACGCCTCCGCGCCTTGCTCTCATGAGGCGCCGGCGGTCCTGGCTATTACGGCACGGGCCCTTTTGCTCGGGATCCCGATCGCCTGTCGCTTGCGCGTGCGTGAGGCTTCTGATCAGCTCACTGGTCTGAACACCGGCCGCCAACTTGCAGGCGTCGGGCGACGTGGCGCCTACGTGGCGGCGCGTGTGGCGGGCTATCATCGTGTGAGCCCGCGGCGGCCATGTGGCCGCCCTGTCACCAGCAACAGCAGCAGCAACATGGCGCCCAGGTGACTCAACAGACAGCACAGCTGGTACCGCAGCAGCTGCGGCAGCCGCAGCAGCAACAGCAGCAGGACTGCAGCTTTGAATCACAGCCAGCCTCCCCCCGGGTGTCGCGGTCGCCGCTCAAGCGCCGCAGCACGGGGCTCCCCTGCCGTGGGGGCGCCTCATTGTCCCGCAACTATGTGGGGAAGAGCCAGAGCTTTGATTCCATACAGGACCTCACTCGCAACCCCTGGGGCGGCGAGTCCGCGCTCACGCTAGCCAAGCGGCGCGCGCTGCCGTTGCCTGTGCCCGGCACCGAAGCCTGCTGCGAGCCCGGATGCAGCGGCAGCGGGCGCATGGCACTGTCGACATGCGAGCCCGGGCCGTTGAGTTGGAGCATCGACGAGGAGGACGAGTGTCTGCTGGGCGGTATCACCTGCCGCGCGCGGTTGTCTGCAGGCAGTGGCAGCGACAGCAGTGGCGCTGGGGCCAGCAGCGGCGGCGCGCTTGCGGTGGCATGCCGCCGTGACGACGCCAGCGCAGGCTCGGAGACGGTCGTGGATGCTGCCACGGCGGTCCTCACGGCGGCCGCAGCTGCGGCGGCGCCGCCTTGGGCCGTGCCGCGCGCGCACGTGCCGGTGGTGCTTGAGCGGCGGTCCTGGGACGCGGCGCCTTGCAGGGGCGGGAGCATTGACCATGCCGGCATGCGCATTGGCATGGCCGGTGCGGCCCGCTTATCTGTGTCTCGCGGATCGAGCGGCGGCAGCCAGCTCGCTCCCGCATGCATGCAGCTCCCGCCGCTAATGCAAGCCAACACCCGAGGCGGCGGCGGCGCAGCTGCATACCGGGCGCGTCCGGGCAGCAGCTGCAGCGGCAGCGACAGCGGCGCGAGCAGCCGCGGTGGCGGCCCAGCAGACGACCTGGTGGAGGCTTTGCGGGGGGCGCGGCTGTCGCCCTGCATAGGCGGTGGCGTCTGGCTGGCCGCACCCCTCATGGAGAGCGGGTGATGCCGCGGCAGCCCGCGGCTCATTGCATGCGCGCCTATGCGCGGCGCGGCCGGCGGCACGTGCGCGTGCAGCGGCCCAGCAAGGCGTGTGGCGCCGGTTCCCGCCCTCCCGCATGGATGCGCGTGCACGGTCATGATCAGTCCCTTGGCTAGGTTGCGTATATGCGCTTCGCTGTATTGTCTCTCACTGCGCTCACGGGCCTCAACTCTTTGTGCCCTGTTGTCAATCTTGATTGGAGCATTTGGCGCCCTGTTTGCAGCGTGTTGTTGGGGGTGGAGGCGCCCCGCATCATTTGGAGCAGCGCACCGATTCAGGCAGACCAGATATGCGAATCAGGGGCATTCTAGGCTCGCGTCGGGGTGTGGTTATGGAACGCGGCGCTTGGGGCACGGCCAACAAGGCCAGCGCCCAGCACAGGCGCAGGCGGCCAGGGCCCGCTGATACCCTGCGTGAAAGACTTGATGACGCCTCCCTAAGCGAGAGGCGTACTTGGTCAGCGGCTGAGAGCGCCGCTCGCGAGCGGCCCCTTGCTCCAGCCCCTGCTGCTTTCCCCCACTTGCTCCCCCTCTTCCCTCCCCGCCTTCTCCCCGGCATGCCGCGCGCCCTCGCCAACTCAATACCCCACTCCACACGCCTGCGAGGTGCAGCCGCGCGGAACGCGCATGCTTGCTGCAGGCAAGGCAGCTGGGTTCATGCAGGCCACGGTGTCTGTATACACTCGACACGCACCTCGCACATCAAGTCATTCTTTGCTTTACCCAGCGTGTGTATACAAAGCCACAGCACGTTGCAACATTAAACTGCAAGTATGCGGCTCCACTTCCCTCACGCCCGCCGGTGCACGCGGGATAAACGCTCAATGACCGCTGGGCCTGTGGCAGCGTGGGTTGCAGACAATTGCACCAGCGCCGCCGCCTCTGTGAGCCGCCACTCAATTCGCCGCGGCGCCATGCAGGCGGCGGCGTTGTTGGGAGCCATGGCGTGCGAGTATGCACTCCGCAGCGCCTGCGTGTGTGCGACTCACCCTGTCTGTGGCTTCCAGAGATCGACGGGGCGGCGCGCCCGAGAGTCGGACCCCTCGTTAGCATTACCTTTCCCAGATTGCGTGCACTATTCCGCCCCTTGCCAGCTGCCTCCTCAAGCTTTTCAACTTCAACCGCCCGAACGTGCGCCAACGATGTTCGCATCTGCCGCATGCTTTGTCGCGCCACGCATTTGCCCTGCTTTCTCAACACCCTGCGCGCTTGCGCGTGCGAGGCTCGCGCACATTGCCGTGCCTCCCCTGGCGGGCGCCTTGTTCTGGTCGGGGCTGCTGCAAGTAACATGCTTTGCTGCAAACAATCTCCTTTTTCATGTTGGTGTCCTTGGGATTTTGAGGGAGGGGTGGGTCATGAGCCGCCGCCGCTTCACCTATGACCCACCGCTTCACCTAAGTGACCAATCGGCATTGTGCAGATACCCACTCAAGTCTCTTCGACATGCACCTGTTTAGTCTGCATTCCCTTTTTCAGCGGTGGACCACCGCAAAAAATGTCAGGCTGGTGTTGCCACATGGCCGGTTTAGCGCAACCACAGACCAGGCAGCTGATCACCTTGGTGTTTGCCGACACCGCACGGTATGGGCACTGAGTCACACGTGAGCTGCGACCACACAGCCGCAGGACACTGTGGCCCAACACGAACTGATGGCGCACTGTCATCACGAGTACACACGCATGTGCATTCACACTGTCTAAATTGCCGTCACCGCCAGTGACGAGATCATAACCGCGACACAGCACCCGATATCAATCCCAAATGCGCCTGTTGTCAGCTGGATGCGGCAAATCATTTGCTTTCAGCGGCTGCCACACCCGACATAACAGCACACGGTGCCGGGCCGCGCCTCGAAACTCAGCTGAGGCACCCAGCCGCGCCCGCCGTGTCGCGCCCCCCCTCCGCGCGCTGGCGTCCCACGCGACGGCGCCGGCGGCGCGCGGCGGCGCCGCCGGGACCGCTGCGGCGCGTGCGCTGGACGTGGGTAATGTGATTGCACTGGAGCACATCAATATCGAGGTGCCCGACCTCGAGGTGAGGCCAGGCACGCGCGCCAGTGGCTCCGTTCACAAACGCAGCGCTGCATGGGAGTATTTGGCTGCAGCAGCTGCTCCGTCGTGGCGCCTGAGGGGGGGGACCGCGTCACTTGCCGCGCCAGCATACGCGCGACGCGAGCGCACGCCCGGCGCGCGCGCGCAGGCGGCGCGCCTGTTCTACTCTGAGGGGCTCGGCTTCACAATCGACCCTGACACGACGGGCGCGGAGCGCAGCGGCGCGCGCGGTGCGGCGAGCCTGCCGCCTGCCCCCTGCCGCCTGCCGCCTGCCGCCTGCCGCCTGCCGCCTGCCGCCTGTCAGCCTGCGCGCGCCGCCCGCCTGCCGCCGCGCCGACGCCGGCGACCGTGCGTGACCCGTTGTGATGCCACACCCAGCCGCGCGGGGACGCGGGGCTCGCACGCCGTGCGCGAGGGTGCCGGACGCCTTAACTTTTCACAAATCTTCTGCTGTCCCCGCCACTGGCGACCCGGCAATCCCCCCCCGCCCCCCGCAGGGCTAGGAGTCGTTTGGTACAACCTCAACCGGCAGCAGGTGTGCGCCGCGGCGCGCGCTGCGGACGCCGCCCCGCCACGCCCCGCTCCTCGAACGAGCGCCCCCGCACGCCCTCTTTCCCGGCCAATCATCCGGTTTACGCCGCCGCCGCCGCTTGCTTCCTGCCCCCACCCGCCCGCCGCCCTCCCTGCCGCGGCCCCGTGTGCGCAGCTGCACATCTGCCGCGGCCCCGAGCCCCAGCGGCTGCCGGCGGGCGGCGCGATCGGCCTGGTGGTGCACAGCGTGGAGCGGGTAGCTGCCCAACTGGAGGTCGTGCAGTCTCTGCTGGGGTGAGCCACGTGGGGGTTAGACCCCAGTCGCGCGGGGGGCCAGAGGGGTGGCAGCTGCTGAACGGCTTCCGCCCACGGGGCGCGCTGCTGGTCCTGCCCTCCAGGCCGCGTGCGCCGCCGCGAGCGTGCGCCTCAAGGACGTGCGGCCGTCGCCTGGAGCAGCCAGCAGCAGCAGCAGCGGCGGCGGCGCCAGCAGCAGCAGCAGTACAGCCGCAGGAGCGGGAGCATCTCGGCTCGCGCGCCCCTCACTGTGGCCCCGACCGCCCTCGCGCGCGCCGCTCCCGTCTGCAGAGAGGTGACGGTGGCGCACCTGGGGCCGGGTGTGCTCGAGGTCAGGGACCCCTGGGGCAGCGCCTACATCGTCAGGGAGGCGGGGGACGCCACGCCTGCGGCGCTGCAGGCTGGCGGCATCTCCGAGGTGCTGCTGCCTTGTCACCTGGGCGCAGCCGTGGCAATCGGACGGTGCGCGTCGGCGCGGGTGGGGCGCGCCGCGCGTGAGAGCGTGCCGAGGCGCGTGTTACGGGCGTATGCCTGTTCTTGACACGTTGCGTGGGCGCGTGGTGCGTGGCGTTGGGGTGGGCGCGTGGCGCGTGGGTTGGGGCAGCCACCCATGTTGGTAGCGTGAAGGCGGCACGCCTGACGCAAAGTAACCCGCGGATCCTATGGTTTGGCCGAAGCAATCATGCAAGCTTGCGCACGCGCGCGTGTGCGCGTGCGGGCGTGCACACACACACACACACACACACACACACACACACATACACACACACACACACGTGTGCAGGTTCTACGAGCGCGTCCTTGGCGCGCGCGTCGACTATTCCGCGGGCCAGGCGTCCGTGGTGGTGGGCGCAGGCAGCGCCCTGGTCTTTAAGGAGGACGGCTCCCTGGGCCAGCGCTCAGACCAGGTGGGGCCACGGCCACGGCCTTGACTTGAAGCCGGTCCTCGCGGCGCCGCTCCGGTCGCCGCGGCGTCGGGATCTGCCTGCTTGCGACCGCTGCTGCCGCCGCTTCTGCCCCTTGGGGCTTTGCTGCCCAACGCCTGTAAAGAGTGCCGCGGCTGCCCTCCCCGCGATCCCCTATGCCGACTCCCCCCTAATCTTTAAAACCTGGGAACCGCGGCAGGCGGTCGCCGCGCTGCACACTGGGTGGCACGCCGCCATCTACGTGGCGGATTTCAGCGGGGTGTTCAGCAGGGTGGAGGCCCTGGGGCTCATCGACAACAACCACCCCTACAGGTGCGCATTGCACGGACCGCACGGCGTCGCACGCGCGGCGAGGCGCCGAGCCGGCCAGGCACACCGCTGGCCCACGGCTGGCATCAGGGATCGGAGCAGGCCAAGCCCGTTGCGGCAGCGCGGCGGCCGCCCCTGTGCCGCAGCCGGGGTAGGCCGCGCACGCTTCTGCAGCGGAGCGGCTGCGCGCCGCTGTTTTAGCGTGCATGCGCGATCAGCCTGATGGTTTTACCCGTTGGCGGCGCCGCAGCAAGCCTGGCCTTTGGCAGGGCCCTCGAACGACGTAACCCTCGCCATTTTCGTCGCGGCGCATCGCTCGCCCCTCACCTGCAATGCCCCCGCGCCTGGTCGCGTTGAACAACACGCCACCTAGCGCAGCCCCTGCGGCTCTCTCGTTGCTCGCCACACACATTCTGCCCCGCTGCATCCCCTGATTCGCCGCCCCCATCCGCTTGAAGGGATAAGTGCTACAGCATCGAAGACGCTCTGCGCAACAAGCAGTTCCGCTTCAAGGTGTGGTGGATCGGGGGAGAGTTTAAGGAGCATCTTTGTGTGTTGAAGGGCCGCACCAAAGGGGGGGACATGCATGTTCAGCTCTGCTGCGTCGAATGGGTGTGGACTGCTGTTTGTTTTAGAGTTTGAAGCGGCAATCCCTGCTGCTGCATTCGCCGCCGCCGGCGCTCGCGCCAGCCGCCTGCCAAAACCGCTTATACCACGCAAACAATCACCACTTGCACAGGACGTGCTGGCGCTGAGGGAGGGTGGCAGTGACGACGAACTGGCGAAAGAGGGCCTGGCCTACGTGCTTAATCACGAGGTCCGCAGCATGCACCACCCGCGCTTTGTTAGGCCACTGTACAACAGGCAGCCGCCACGGCGGTGACAGCTCACGCATGGGCGGCGCGGCGACGGGCTTTGCTGTCAGCGCGCTGGGGGCATTGCTGCGTCTGGTCGCGCGGCGATGCATCGGTTGTGTATCATATGTCGGCGTCACGCTGCCATGTGACCTGCTCTACGTTAGAGTAAACGCGGCCAAAGTTGTATCAGGAATGGCAAGGGCCAGTGCAGCCATCCAGCGGTCAATCAATTGCGGCACTCGGTCAACGGAGACATCACATGTGCTGGCAGGAGCATGCGCCGCAGCTCCATTAGAGCAACCATGGCTGTGAGCTCCTACCGGAGCATTTGGCAGTGGCCCAGCAGCCCGCTCAGCAGAGCGCAGCTCGTATACCGTACTGTCCGCCGACGCCCTGTCCATGTGTCCAGACACTTCAGTAATAACAGGTGCTCTTCTTGAGCCAAAGCCAGAGGCGTGGCACGGATAATACCTGTAGAAACTTTGTCGTGGCGTAGCATAGCACAAGGCAATCCAAACGCAGCTCACGCTCATTTGCTGCGGCGCGTTCTATCTACAGTAGTACCGAAGCACAGCACGCAGCAGCCGCTCTTCAGCCACACCGCTTGCACGCACTTGTGGTGATAGGCTCTTTTGGAAACCGCAGTTGCAATCCCAGCATCGGAGGCTTGTAAAGCGGCGGCGGCCGGCAAGGCGGCAGGGGGTGCGCGCTGGTGCTGCGCTGCATCACCAGGCAGCGGCGACACGATGTCTTTACAAGACAGCGGAGACAGCAGCGTCGACCTTTCGCTGCTGTCTGAGGGCGGCGACGATGATGAGCGTGGTGAGGTGCAGCAGCAGCGGCAGCGGGGGCAGCACGCCGATGACGACGGCGATGCCGCAGAGGCCGGAAAAGATGGAGGCGAGAGCGGCGGTGAAGACGCGGACCCCGCGGCGGCAGGCAAGCAGCAGCAGGTGGACGGTGATGGCGGCGAGCGGCGGCAAGAGGGGGACGAGGGCGAGCGGCGGAGAAGGAAGAAGAAAGTCAGCAAGGTTCTCACCAGGGAGCGGCTGCAGCGACTGAAGGAGAAGCACGAGCGGCGCGGCATCATCTACGTCAGCCGCATCCCACCCCACATGAAGCCGGCGAAGCTGCGGCAGCTGCTGTCGCAGTACGGGGAGGTGGGGCGCGTGTACTGCACGCCGGAGGACTCGGCAGTGCGGCGAAAGCGCAAGGAGCACGGCGGCAACACGGGTACGCTGCGGGCGCGCGGCGCTGCCGGTGCCCGGCGTCTTGGTTGGCTTGGGTCGCTCAGCACGCTTCAATCCCGCTGCCAGGCCCCCCGTGGCTGCCCGCGCGCGCCGCAAGCCGGACTCGTGCCTCTGGCCTGTCGGCGGCGGCTGCTGTCAAGCGCTCTGCAGCGGCGCGCTTGCGCGTCCGCTGCCCTGCCCACGTGCCTCCCTTTCCATCCCCTGATGGACGCCTCTGCGTGTGCACCGCAGGCAAGAACTTCACAGAGGGCTGGGTCGAGTTTGAGGACAAGGCAGTCGCCAAGTCTGTGGCTGCCATGCTCAACAACCAGCCCATCGGCGGGAAGCACCGCAGCGCGTACCACTTTGACCTCTGGTGCCTCAAGTATCTACCAAAGTTCAAGGTGACAACTTCTTGTGATAGTGTGGCTGGCATGGGGTGGGGTCGGCTGGTGCGCCGCGAGTTGTTCCCCCCAGGCGTGGGGACGGGGTACTGACACGCAGCAATCCTGCAGCTGAGCGCATGTGGGGCCCTGGATAGCGCCACACGTGGGACTGTGCATGGGTGGTGGCCCCCCTCCTTTGCGCAGCGGTGCTGGTGTTTTTTGCTGTGAGTGATGCTGTATGGCAAGCGAGGCCCGCTGCGGCGCGGCCCCTGCACACGCCCCTTTCCCGGCCGCAGCCGCCGGTCCCCAGAGCCGGGTACCCACCCCGCACCCCTTAAGTTGGCCTCAACCGCCCCCATATTGGTTTCATTTGAAACAGTGGGACCACCTGACGGAGGAGATCAATTACGAGAAGGCGGTCAGGGAGCAGAAGCTGGCGGCCGAGCTGTCTACCGCCAAGCGCGAGCGCGATTTCTACCTATCGCGCGTGGACCAAGCCAAGGCGCTGGCGGCGATGGAGCAGCGGCGCGCGGCGCGGGGCGGCGGCGGAGGCGGCGCCGATGGAGCCAGTGCAGGCGCGGACGGGGCCAGGGGCGTGGGCCCGGCGGCAGCGCGGCCAGAGGCAGGGCAGGCGGGGAACGGCGGCGGCGAGGGCGAGGGCGGAAAAGGGGGGGCGCGTCCCAAGGCGGCACGTCACTACGGGCAGCGGCGGGTCAAGCCTGACCCTGTGACAGCGGCAGATGCGCCGCAGGTGGGGGCGGACGTATTGGGCATGGTCGTGGCCAACAAACGGCGCAAGGTGCAGCCGCAAGGGTAGTCGTCGGATGACCTGGCCAGTGTGTCCGCCAGGCACGCATCGTACCGTACCTGTAGATGTGCATGATAACAAAGCGTGTTTCAATCAACTTTTTATCTGTCCCTTGTAACGTGCAAGAGACGTGCAGATGGGCGGCCACCTCAACCACGACCCTTCACCTCCGCAGAGGCACAAGACTCCGACCTGCAGCCAAATAAAGCTCCGATCAAGTATTAAGTAACCTTTCATCTGTTTGCCACGTAGCACGGCCAAAAGCGTGAGGTAGGAATGCCAGTGCAGTCCGTCGGCCCAATTCGCACCAGTTGTAGCCCACACTGTCTTTAATGATATCATAGCAAAATCAATACCCTAAAACAGAATAGCGGCGAGTTTTTTACCTGCTCTGTCTGTGCGGCAAGGTTTTGAAACATCCGCCCCGCGCCCCGTTCATCATCAGGGCGCAGATTCACGACGTGCGAAGGCGTACGAAGGTCAAGTCATAGTCACTTCACTGTAATTCGACGATCTTGATCGGCTTCGTACCCGGAACGGCGCTTGCTGCACAGCAGGTGTGCAGCACGTGCAGCCAGCCCCGGGCCGCTCTGCCACGATGCTGCCCAGCGCCTACATCCACGCGTTGGCAGCCAACGTTCCCGTCGGCGCCGTCACTACCAAGACAGAGCAGCAGCAGAAGCAGCAGCAGCAAGATGCAGGCGGTGCCCTGCTGAAACTCGCTCTTTCCAAGGTCCAGCTAGCCCCCAGCTCGTCTTCTGAGGGCGGCAGCGGCGGCGCGCTCATCGCTGCGTTCCGCGAAACGCCCGCAGTTGGCGCAGCCGCAACGTTGCCCACCGATGAATTCTCGGGCTCAGACAACGGCAGCGCCTGTGCCGACAGCGAGGACAGTGGGGCCGGCGGCGTTTCGTGCGGAGCTGAGGGTAGCGGCGGCTATGCGGCCGCGCCGGCTCCCGCGGTTCCCGCCGCCGCGCCCGCCCCCGCGCATGCGGCCCCCACTGCAGCCGCCACCGTGCAGCCCGCGGCCACCCCTGCTCCTGCAGCGGCGCGGCCGCGCGGGCAGGCCAAGCTGCTGGCATTGTGCCCGACAGCCCCCCCGTCGATGCAGCGCGAGACCTGGTGCGTGGCTGACTACGAGGTCCTTGAGAAGCTCTACACTGGCTATGCATCCAAGGGTGAGATCCTCACCCAAAACTACCACACGTTTCCTTCCCTGCTGAGGGCCAACCAGGGCGTTGATCCGATCCAGAGCTGGAGCCGGCTGCTGACGTTGAGCAATCGGAGCCCAAGCTGAGCCAAGGGGGCGGGGGTTGCATGTGCACACCTGCCTTGTGAGCAACACTGCCCCTGGCCCTGCCCCCTTGCTCGTGGCGCAGTGTACAAGGCAATCTGCAAGCGCTCGCGCGAGGTGGTGGTGCTCAAGAGCTACCAGCTGAGCGCCATCTGCGAGCTGTACCAGCACCAAATCTACAGGTGAAAGATCTGAGAGGAGTCAACGCTGTGTCTCAAATTGCAGGCGGCTACACACATCACAATGAGACAATCCTGCCTTGCTAGCGAGCTGCATCCCCCCAAGGGTGGGTTGCAGAGGCCCCAGTTTCTCTGGGGATGCCGCTCGTTCGTGCACTGCCGACTGCGATTACCTTTCGCTTCAATAAGCGCTGCCTCCGCGGCGCACCTGCAGGGAGGTCAGCCTGCACGCCAGCCTCACACACGAGAACGTGGTCACGTTATACGCTGCATTCCAGGTGTGTATACGTGCTTGCGTGTGAGTGTGTGTGTGTGTGTATGTATGTGTGTGTGTGTGTGTATTGGAAGGGGGTGCGCGCACGCAAGCACAAACGTGCTAAGGCGGGATGATGCCAGGGTGTGGAGCCTACGCGCAAGGCACCCAGCAGTAACCTCACTCGCCTGTCATCCTGTCCGACCTAGCAGCTGCATTGGGCAAGCCAAAACCGGGTTTTAAGGCTCGTGGCCAGCGAGCATTGATATTGCTGCCAGGATGCCGGCGTATTAATGAATTGCCGCTGCCAACACCCCCCCAACCAATGACAGGAGGGCGACTTTGTTGTGATGGTACAGGAGTATGCGGACGGCGGCGACCTGTTCAGCCTGCTTCAGAAGTACGGCGGCCGCCTCAGCGAGCGCGTGACCGTGTCGCTGGTGCTGGAGCCTTTCCTGCGCGTGCTGCAGGTGCAAGCACGCGCCGCGAGCGGGCAC